GTATGAATGGTATTGAGGGGCCGTGCCTGGGCGACTGACTCCCTTAAACGTGTACCCTTGGTTTCACTTGAAGGGAGTCACACGACTACCAAAGATGGAGGAGTCCTCAACATGCGAGGCAAGTTGCTCAAGATGAAGGAATGTCAGTCACGAAACAGGACCTCTATATAGAGGTGCCTGACCAAGATAAGGACATATCCAACATCTCCTAAAATCCTAGGTTAATACGTTAGCTGTCAAGTAGATCTCATCTTGACATCTCGCCCTGATCGTCCACCTCCAAACTGGGTGAATTGACATCCAACTCCCCGTTCATATCTTTGTAATCCTGCGTTTTAAACCATATGTGGTATAATCTATATCTATATCTATACCTAATAATAAAGGGGTACGTCACTGAAATTTCCCTTAAAGTTGTAAAATATTACCCACCGACGCTATCTATAAGTTTATTTTGAGGGGTGCCATCTATAAGTGATAAAAAACGTTTCACACGGGGGAATCCCCAGCTTGGGCCGGTCCATGCAGTAGAGATCTCCTATACTGCACTCTGCGCGCTGCGAGAAGATAGCGCGCCCGTTTGCCCCGGCCCATGTCCGAGCAACCTATTTCTAAAATTTCGTCTTTTATTTTTGGTTTCCTTTTCTGTCTTTATTTTTTTGTACTTTAAATAGTTTGGGACTTCACAAAAGTTTCAAAAGTAAAAAATGATAACTTTTAAATAATTCATAAATGGTTGTGAATTCAGAAAATGTTCGCATATTCTAAAAAAATCAAAATTTTGAAATCGAAAAATATTCATGATTTTTAAAAAGTTCATGTATTAAAAATGTTAATTAAATTGAACAAAATTTCCCAATTCAAAAAATGTTCACGAATTAAAAATATTCTAAAAATTGAAAAACTGTTCATGGCTTACAAAATAGTTCATTCATTCGCAAAATGTTTGCTGATTCAAAAATGATCATGCAATTCAGAAAATATTCATTAAACCAAAAAAACTGTTCATGAATTTCAGAAAACGTTCTTCCAATTTCTAGAAATATGTTCGCCGATTCTAGAATTGTTCGCCGATTCAAGAAAACTGTTTAAAAAAATGTTCACAATGTTAAAATTTTGTTTGCAAATAGTATAAAATGTTGATGAACTCAAAAAATGTTCTTAATTTTAGAATGTTTGAAAATTTGAAAAAGTGTTCATGAATTTGAAAAATGTTCATGATTTCAAATATGTGCACGAGTTTAAAAAAATGTTCAAGATTTCATGAAATTGAGAGTGATAGTGTATGTTGGTGATGCAGCAAAATGTGATCATGGCTATTGGAGATTATGATTTTTTTTTCCGTTGCAACGCACGGGCCCTTTTGCTAATCAAATATAAGTAGGAGTAGGGTTGTTACTCGCCTAGCGAGGCCCCAAACCTAGGTAAAACATGTGCCCGGTGTCCATCCTGTAACTTGAAGTTATGCCCCTCCCAGTCTCGACAACCGAAGGAGCATCTCCGCAAGCAGCAGTCTCCTTCGCTCCCTTGATCAATGTGACATTTGGACCCAACTTTGTTCGTCTTCGTGTCTCTCGGCATGTCGAGTTTGGCAGCCAAGAAGAAGTCTTCGGCCTTGACATCCTTTGGGTCTTTGCATACAAATCCATTAACTAGAACTGCGTGATAGAGGACATATATATTTACGTTAGTTGAGTCTATCAATAATTTGTGAATGGATGCTATGCTGAATATAACCTAAGAACTATGAGGTGTACTTGATGTTCACCCAGTGTAGAGAAGACATACCACGTGAGCTGTTGTCCGCGACACAAAAGTCTTGCAGGGGGCTCGGATCAGAAGCGATAGCCTGCCATGAGGCCCACGCAAGAAGGGCAAAGAGAAAGAAATAGGAAGAGGTGGCCATTTGAGTTTTTGCTGAAAGCAAGTGTGTTTTGTTGCTTCGTTGTGTTGTGTGGTTTGGGTTTGGGAAGGCTATATATTTATAGCAGCAAAAGGAGTAGGTGATTTTGAGAAACAGTCAACGAAAACGTATATGTGTATGCATGGCCATGTAGAAATGGTCATTAATTTATTTAATCTGTAGAGTGCCCAGACCAAAATATAGCCTGAATCCAGCAACTTTATGAAGTTTCTTTGTATGGTGTACCACTAGCTATCGTTGAGTATGGGTTATAACTTAAATTAATTAAGAGTATGCTTAGAAAAATTATTTTTTGTCAGGTAATACTAGAACGACATTTTCTGCAATCGAGTATGTCAGCTGTAGCGGATAAATGTTTTACAAGCTAGTACAATAGAATAAACAAATACATTGTATATGAGCCACGACGATGCTGTTTTCAATGTTTGTCCCTGCAGAAGTTTATTAATTCTGGTTGTCTGCCCAAAACTGAGCTTGAAGCCAGTCCACCGTCTTCTTCTCCACTTGGAACGCCTTGGCAAGAACATCATCTGAGATTGCCGGTTTTGACCCAAACACAGCGTTGGCAATGGTGATAGCCCCAGGATTTTGGCTGCTAAGTGCAGCAATTGCCACTGCCGGTTTGTAGGGGTTGGGGTTAAACTGGAAGTGGATGAGACCTTCTGGGAATACAAACACATCACCCTTGTTAAGCTCCTTCGACAAGAACTTGTTGTCTGGGTTGGATGTGACGAAGCCGACATAAAGGGTCCCTTCAAGCACGGTGAGGATCTCAGTGGCACGCGGGTGAGTGTGTGGTGGATTCTCGCCTAAAGGTGCATAGTCGATGCGCGCCAGGGAGATGCCCAATGTGTTTAGGCCGGGAATCCGCATCACATTGATCAAAGTGACATTGGACCCAACTTTGTTCGTCTTCGTGTCTCTCGGCATGTCGAGTTTGGCAGCCAAGAAGAAGTCTTCGGCCTTGACATCCTTTGGGTCTTTGCAGACAAATCCATTAACTAGAACTGCGTGACAGAGGACATACATATTTACGTCAGTTGAGTCTATCAATAATTTGTGAATGGATGCTATGCTAAATATAATCCAAGAACTATGAGAGGTACTTGATGTTCACCCAGTGTTGAGAAGACATACCACGTGAGCTGTTGTCTGCGACACAAAAGTCTTGCAGGGGGCTCGGATCAGAAGCGGTAGCCTGCCATGACGCCAACACAAGAATGGCAAAGAGAAGGAAATAGGAAGAGGTGGCCATTTGAGTTTTTGCTGAAAGCAAGTGTGTTTTGTTGCTTCGTTGTGTTGTGTGGTTTGGCTTTGGGAAGGCTATATATTTATAGCAGCAGAAAGAGTAGGGATTTTGTGAAACAGTCAACGAAAACGTATATGTCTATGCATGGCCATGTAGAAATGGTCATTAATTTATTTAATCGAGCAGGTGTAGAGTGCCCGGACCAAAACATGGCCTGAATCCATCAACTTTATGAAGTTTCTTTGTATGGTGTACTACTAGCTAAGAAAACAAACCTGACGTGGTCTTGGTCTGACGTGATAAATTATGATGTGTATGGATTACACGCCTTTGAACCGTGTCACTGTCATGCATGACGTAGTAGGATGAAGCTATAGCTAAAATTGATGAATATTTCTTCCCGTTGAATATATGGCGTAATCTTGAGAGCTAGTTGACGTAGCCTTACCTAGTCGCCTCAGGCATGCGTGACGGGAGAACCGGCCAGCCAGTTTAACCGCGTCGTCAAGACCTGTTAATTAGGCACGTGGGTTGCTCTGCAATTAGAGACCATGTCAACCTAGTGTTGCTATGTTACGCCTTGGATTTTACTAATTCGCAAC